AATACGACATATACAATCGTCGCACTGTGCCAAACCAATGACTTTCGACCGGTATGGGCAGTCTAGCGTCCTTATTGGTCCTATGTCCGCCTAGCCCGTCCACTCGAGTCCAGAATACCAAATGCCAGCTCCCACTATGCGAATCGAATGGAATCACTTATTTCAGACATACTGGGTTTATATATAAATCAAACAGACCGCAACGCCCCATAAAATAGGAAGTAACATTTGTACACTATAAAGCCAAAAAGTGGCTATGACTGTGGGAGACAGTAGTTACTAAACTGAACATAGCTTACGAACAGTAAACCGTACAATCATAAATTATGGGTGAAAATGAAGCCTATAATAAAAGGAATATAAATATACATAATCTAATTATTGAATAGTTATACCATAAGAATGTATATATAATATTAGTCATTTAATATGTCTCAGAAGTTACTTGTGATTTAATCTTCACTAGGATATAGCAGTTCTCCTATCTACACTGTCAAACGCCTTTTCCTAATCAATGAACTTGATGTACAGTGACGAGTCCCACTCAACTGATTGTTCGACGATTATCCGTAGTATCGCAGGTCGGTCTGTGCACGATTCTTACAGAATCCAGTCTGTTGATCTCGAAGTTGGGCGTCTACTGCATCTTTCGTCCGGTTCAACGACACTCTGTTAACTACTCTTTGGTACTGACGGTAGTGTGATGCCTCTGAAGTTTTCACATTTTTCTAGATCTCCTTTCTTTGGAATCTTGACGAGGTGTCCTTCTTTCCAGTCCTTCCGCACTTGTTCCTCCTCCCAAATCTTTTTGAATAGATGATGAAGCATGCTTGTATTTACTTCGATGTTTCACTTCAGTGCTTCAGCTGGTATGTTGTCGGGTACTGCTGCTTTCCCGCTCTTGATTTGTCTGATGGCCATTCTGATTTCTTCCGTCGTTGGTGGATATATTTCATACATTCTCGGTTTATATACAAGCCAAACAGACCACATCATACCATAAATAGAAAATAAAATTTGTACAAGATCAAGCTAGAAAGTGATTGTGGGAGACCATAATTAACCTAAGAATAGTCAATCGTATAATAGTTGTCTACAGGTCAAAATAAAGCTCATAAGAATAGGAATATCAATAAACATAGTTTAGTAACTTAACAATCATACATTAAAAATATGTGTATGGTATTAGTCCATAAATAAATCTCAACGGTTATCTTTCATTATCCTCTTCGGGATGTCACAGATAGCATAATTTTAGGGGCCAAAGTAATGATCTTAAAAGTCCACGGTAACATGCTTTTTAACATGAAGATTGTGAGGGTCTGTTGGCAAACGTGATTTCTTCTAAGTTACATTACACAAAAATAGGAAAAAGTTTCTTAGCATGAACCCACCTTTTAACTTCACTGAAACCTTAATCCAAATTTTATCATCTCAATCACAGTTATTATGCAAAGAAATACAACTAAACAGAGCCATCTAGTATACAGTTATATTTACTACACGAAATATGTGTAATGATAAAGTGAATCAACAATTAATAAAAGCAATGATAATAGTTTAAGGCAATTAGGAAACTTCAGGAGTGAGTGTATTTTAGCATTGCTAAGATATTAGGGGGTCAAAAGTTTAAAAGCGTAATTAAACCAATATTGTGTTCCATTTCGATAATGACAATACATGTACTATAAGATGAGAACGAACTGAATAATGAAGGAATTAGCTTTTTGTTCTCAGAGCTGGAAAGCTTGGTCGTAGAGCCTTCATCGTTCTTCTGAACAACATCATCAGCACAAACTTCAAGTAGAAGGCAGCATGCTTGAATATCTGGACTACCTGTTCCTGCCATCTGGATATTTCAACAAGTTATCTGTTTTTTTTTGTTTATTTTAACAAATCATTATGTCAATTATTTGCATAACCTATTCAGGTGCGTTTCTGAAAAATTTACAACCTATCACTGTACAAGTTACAAAAACGTACGATCGGAGACATCGTGATGTTTGAAGATATAGATTGAAAAGAATGAATATTATTCAAATATCGACTTCTGAAATGCTAATATCTAACTGGCGATCACTCAATATTTATCGGCAATATCGTCCAAGAAGTAAGAAACGGAAACTCTTAAGTAATTTTTGCTTAGAATTCAATATTGTACCAAAAATATGATATTGAACAAAGCTAAAAATAAAGACGAATAAACAAAGTCTTCGAATTTCTTCACATATGATTCACAGGTGGTTATTGTTGACCTTCAACCTGTCATTGTTTACTTCCTTATTTTGATTGCATCGAGTGTATCGATATTTGTTTAACAACATATTTTCACTTCACCAGTAAGATTTACGAATAAACGAAAAGAACACCATTGGGATTACCAACATCAGGATTTATTGCAGAAGCAGTCATTCAGAGACTGAAAGCCACAATGTTACCAACCGGGTCTGCTTCTCATATACTTGGGTGTCTACTTTTCCTGTATCGGTTCTGGTGATCAATACATCCGATCATCATAGTTTATTGTTTTACTTCTGTTTCAATGTGAACTCTATGTCATCGAACACATTTCAGGTGTATTCTAGCTCGTCTTTTATGACGATGAAAAACGTGCCGTCCACATAATGAACTTAAAGTTTTCGCTTAGTCACTGGTTAGGATCAGCAATAACCGCTTATGATCGAGGTAGATAAGACAAGCTGTGAGTCGTATATCGAGAGATTCAAATACTTCACTTCTACTTGAAGTTTGTGCTTATGATGTTGTTCAGAAGAACGATGAAATTTTCACGACCAAACCATCGAGCTCAGAGAACAAAACAACATCGAAATAATCCACCTGTGCTACAAATCTTCTCCACTATCTCAGGTATTAGTTTAGTGATACAGAAGTCTGTAGAAAAAAAGAGTAGGTTTATAAATTGTGTAGGTAAATGTTGAAAAAGGGTAAAATATTGAAACGGTTATCATTTATTTAGAATTTATCAAACTAATGCCAGTAAGATTACAATTTCTCTTTGACAACGTCAGTTTGAAAGGAGACAATAAACTGTCTCTTCAATAACACAATTTACTTATTCTATCGTTATTTATTTTCTTCAATAATATATTTGAATCTACTTAATGGAACATGAATCAAATTTCTATAGTTATTAGTATAGGGGTTGTTAAGATTATTAAGTTTTTGATTGAGATTATGAACCGATTGATGTTAGACCACCTTTGGAAATCTGGAAGCACTGGACGGCCATTTCGTCCTATTTTGAGACTCCTTAGCAGTGCGCATCCACGATCCCGCTCTCGGGATTCGAACCCAGGGCCTTCGGTCTCGCGCTCAAACGCTTAACCTACTGGACCACTGAGCCGGCATTCAGTGGTGATAGTGTCAAACATCAACCATAGTTATATCTAACCATGATAAAATGGTTTATAATTGCAATTTTTGATATATCTTTTACCCGTATTACTACACTTTAATACTTGAAAAGTAATAGCATTATCAGTGTGATGTTTATTCTTAATAAATTTTGAGAAACACTAGTCCGCGTGTTTCACTAAACTGAAGTAGCTTTGTATGTGAACCACTTAAACTAGATCAATTATAATTCTGTCCTTAATATATTTTTCTCATGGTATGACCTCATGTGTGCATAAAATTAAGGTTAGAATAGAAAATGTTTGGCTTAATATTAGTAAAATACATAATTGATATTAAGTTTAAAACGTGTATCATTAAATGCAATGTAACACCATATTATATGAATAAGCTTGTTAATTAAATGTTGATAGCTTTGTGAATGAACTCGATCATAACTTTTTCAGCTAGTCTGAAATGATATAGTTTGTACCGGAATATATTTATTTACATCCCTTAATAAACCAAGCGGACAATAAAAAATAAACTGTTTCGCACTTATCTGAAACAACTATCTTTATAATCTAAAGACCAATGATATCAATTACCTAGAAGCATATCGCCATAAATATCTCCTGATAAACCGTTTGAGATATTCAATAAATTAATCCTTTCGTATTTATGTGAACCGATTTAATTGTAGTTACTACTTGAATTACAAAATGAATAATTTTTTTTCTGGTTAGAGTTTTTTTTAGCGAGTTAGTTTTCTACGGGATGGGGTCGCTAACCACATAATCAACCCTCCTCCTTTATCCAAGCTTGGGACCGGCAGTAGATCCAGATGGGGCTCTAGGCGGTGTTACTACCTAATTTACTTAACAAATTTTGTCTAATCTTCAAGATATAGATTACCATATTCTTATTCAACTACATAAAACTAAATCATTCTTATTAAAAATCTGTAAAGTTTTATTACAATATCTAGTAGTATCGCAAATTCTCACTGATGAAATGTTTCAATTTATATTCTTAATGATATTGTTCAATGACAAGAATACATTTACATTCATTACAAATCACTCATGTATACAGTAAAATTTATTTTGTCAGTAAACTAGATTTTCTCAATTGTTATGACAACAACAAAAAAGGTTTATAATACCCTATTTTTTTTCTTTCTTCTCTCATTGTAATTCAGATTATTCAAAGAAAGTAACAGATTCCTGGTTGTCATTAAATCTTTGTTAATTAGTACAATCTTTTGAAATTTTGAAACATTTCACCTCAATATCATGTGGTTCATATTCCTACAGCTATTATCATGATTATTACTATTGAAACTATGATTATCATTATCTATATTATGCAATAATATCAGTAATGCTATTCGTTATTTTATTATATTACCATGAGATTATATGAATACATGTTATATATTACTTGTAATATTTGAAGGTTGTAGTTTTCAATGAAATTCTTTTTCTCTGTACTAATGACATAATTAACATTATCCTTAGTTATATTTTAATTTAAGATTAGATATTTTACACCAATAATCAATTGATACTCATTGATTAAGAGTATAAATACAACATAATATTTTATCATTAGAATATAATACATAATAAGTTATTAGGACAATCATGTCAGAACGTAAGGCTGTCATTAAAAATGCTGATATGGAAAGAACTGTACAAGATGATGCAGTCTATGTAGCATCAGCTGCAATGGATAAATATGATATTGAAAAAGATGTTGCTGCTTATATTAAAAAAGAATTTGATCGTAAATACACACCGAATTGGCATTGTATAGTTGGAAAACATTTTGGAAGGTAAATATAAATTGTTCTACATGTTTACTTATTAGTTTAAATATAATTTGATAAATGCTTTTTATAATAGAGTGATGAATTGACACAAAGGAAATAGAATGATTTTGATTAGTCCATGTAACAAATAACTTTTAAAATCTTTAATAGGCTACTGCCATATTAATACAAAATGTGTTACTTGTAGCTTGTCAAATTCTTTATCAACAGTTAGTTTAGTATCTAAGATCGGTAGTTATGTAGACAAAACAGGCTATCAGAATTATATTGAAATGCTTCTTGGATGGCAGTCTTATTCATAAAACTGAACATGATCATGAACATAACTAAAAGTATTTAGAGAAAGAATCTGAGATAACATTTTTAATTAGTGTAATAAATGATTTATTAGTTTTTAATGTTACATACAATAAAGCATAACGTACATGAATAAAGAATTTTGTTGGGAATGTGAGACATTATTGTTCAAATATATGAGTGATGAAGCAATCTTAGATTTAATGTCTCTAGGTTAATTGGAACTAAAGTAAATAGTTCACAGTTAGTGTTGTCAATTGTTGTTTCGGTACTATTAAATGATGATTAAGTTCAAAATATTTCTACTGAAATAAAAAAAACAACCTAAACTTGTTTGGGGAACAAAATGCTTAGTTTTTTGTGTCCTGGTATCTGACTCCAATTAGATTGTATGTTGATTGTCATAGACATACACAAGTCGGCTATCCTTGTATAGTTCATCGAATTAAATCGTGTTGGTGAATAACGGAATTAATTAAGTTGAATACGAGAATGAATACAGATATTTTGTACACTTGTTGATTGGAACAAACATTCCGAGAATCGTGGTGAATGGAGTGAAGATCAAAAAGCGAAGTGAAACGAAAGAATACGCTGTGGAGAAGGCATGTGAGCCAACTCCCATTTAATCAAGTGTTAATCAATATTTATGGCCAGATAAAAATAAGTTACAGATATGTGATGAATAGAATAAGAAGTATACACACACGTACACTCAAACAAAAACAGTCAGGGTTGATAAGTGAATAATTAACCAGATCAGAACGTCACTGCAGAAAAATGGTTAAATTGGCCTGTTCAGAATCTAGAATATGTTTTACGGGCTTAACATAGTAACTAACACTACAAGTTTTGAACATAGAATATCATTTTAATTTTTGAATGAAAATAACTACTTATTATTCTTCATTTATTAAGTAGTATAAAAGAAGCTTCTTTAAACATATTATTAGTTGCAAATAGTAGTAATATTATCTAAAAAAATTAAAGTAAACTTGATTTCAATTATGCTAATCTATGCCTGAATAAAACAATCGTCAATATTATTATATTTGATAACATAGTAATTTAAACATCTCCAGTAATAAACTTAAAGTACTTATGAAAAGAATTAAAAATAACTAATTGTGAATTTAAGCAAAGATGGATAGTGGCTAGCAATCGAATCCAGGATGTGCATTTCGTCCTATTTGGGACTCGTCAGCTGTATATGCCTGCGTCGCAGAGTTGATGTTCACTCGGGGACTCGAACCCAGTACCGTACTGATCAACCGCAGTCTTAAATAACGATCGGAAGATACAAGTAAAACAATACAAATATTTGAAAAGAAAACTATTTTACATTTACTTAATGTAAATCTTTCAATTGTTTCATTCAGTATAATCGTATTTAGTTTTAATATTAATACAAGTCTTCTGATCATCCTCTCATTTATATGTAGTGATAAACAATAAAGAATTCAACATCCTATTATGATAGAAATTACTCATTGACTACTTATTAATTGTAAATATTATCCAATAGTTAATTAGTCTAAGTACATTATTTTTTTCTCTAAATTATTATTGTAAGATTGTTGAACTATAATTGGGGTATTTGATCCATAGTATGAAGGTTAATTTATGCTTATAATGAAAATGTACTTGCACAACAAGTATGTTTGTTTAGATTTAAAACTCTATGAAATAAATGAGTACGGTTAAGCTGTTTTTATATTTTCTTTGAACAGTAAAATAATCTTTTTTGAATTATCAGTATGGGGGTTGCGGAAATTATTACGTTTTTGATTGAGATTATGAACAGATTGATGTTAGACTACCTTTGGAAACCTGGAAGCACTGGACGGCCATTTCGTCCTATTTTGGGACTCCTCAGCAGTGCGCATCCACGATCCCGCTCGCAGGATTCAAAGCCAGCATCTTCAGTCATGCGAGAACGCTTAACCTACTGGATCACTGAGCCGGCATCCAATGGTGTTAATGTCTAATCTCAATCAATTCACGAAATTGCTCAACCATCTGCCATTGTACTGTGGTAGATACCTGTCTCTACCCGACACAGACTAACTCTACTGGTCACGGCTTCTCACTAGGACTCCGAGAATTCCCTCGCGAATGGTGTATCATAGTTATTCATTGATTTTCTCACATGTTTAATAACGGAATGTTTGTTTTTGGAAGTCAAAGTATAAATCAAGATAAAATAATTACGAGTATGTGACGTTGAAAAATGCCTATTATTATAGTATTAATTACAACCGTCAAAGATTTGTTTCTTAAATTGTGTATTACAGATTGTATTCACCAGTATGCACCAGTAAACGATTTATTTTGTCCTCTTACAGTGATGTCGTATACATATATGTTAATGTACATCTAAGTAAGAACCTAAAGATCTTACATATTATTTGAATAAGTTCATTTCTCTGAACAGATCTAAAGACTTATTAATAAGTCCAATCATGCTAACAATACACATACATTTGAAACTACGTAAATTATCATGCTCACACTGAGAAATAAAATGATAGCATATGACACATTTTATGTTTACAGAATCTTGAAATATGAGCTAAAGCAATCAATGTATATATGATAAACATATTTAAATATACGGGAACCAATAATCATAGACCAATCGAGGATAAGAATTTACCTTTTCCGTTTAAAAGAATTCACTGCTAAATGTTTATAACACGTGAAGTAAACCGGAACAAATGAGACCAAATCTCACACTGAAAATTCAGTCATATCAAAATGGATAGGATAATATATATATATATATATATATATATATATATATATATATATATATATATATATATATATATATATATATATATATACTAAATAACTTAGTGCATAGTTGAATAAATTAAATCAGCTACCAAACACTATACAACCTTTTAGAAAATATGATTGAACATAAAGCTGTGATTAAGAATACTAATATGTCTACTAAAATGCAAGAGGATGCAATAGATGTAACAAGTGATGCACTGGATAAATATGAATTGGAAATGCATATAGCAGAATATGTCAAGAAAGAATTTGATATAAAATATAATCCTGTATGGCACTGCATAGTCGGACGAAATTTTGGAAGGTTAGCTGTTAAAAATTTTAATTTTCTATCTGACAATAATTATTATTGTATAGTATAATGACTTAAGATCTGTTAGATTTCATTACATTTTAGATAAGCATAACTCATTTTCCTTACTCATCAAACAATCGATATTTGTAACGATGGATCAACATAAATTATACTTAAACTATATATCCACACAGATATTAAAGATCCTTTTTTATTTTTCTGTTCCTTTTCCTAAAGTTACGTAACCCACGAGACGAATAACTTCATCTATTTCTACTTAGATGATCGTGCAGTACTTTTATTCAAATCTGGTTAGATTAAAATGGTGCAAAGAATAAAGCCAACCAACCAAATAGACAACTAATTCAAATGACAAATAAACTGTGAACTATGCAAGATGATTGTATTATTAGTTTTAAAATAATTAATTGTATCATTTATATAATAATTGTGTTTATTTGTCTGTCCTGTCTTTTTCTTTGTTAGTTTAATGATATAAAGCTATCCATCATGATGAATCTCCAAGTTTTCAATTGTTTACTGTAAAATCATGGAGTACCCAACTTGTGTTATCATGAGTTTCACTTCTAGGGAAAATTAAATGATGATACATTTTTTACTAAATTTCTTGTAACAATGTAAGTCTTCATATACCTGTATTACTGAAATTATTGGACTACCCTAACCTGTTTAAGTGTAACTGGGTTTAAACCTGCGACCTAGCGGTTAAGAATAATCAGCTTACTGATTTCGTAGGGTGAATTAATTTAGAAGTGACAGATAAGCTTAGCAGCTTAGTTGGATGATTCTATTTGTATCGTGTATTCTGTGTCAAATGGTTTGATTCCAAATTTTTTTACCGGTATTTTGGAGAGTATAATCAACGCCTTTTTCATGTAAATGTCATGAAATGATTGATTGCAACTGGACGTACTCAGCGCAAAGTTTTCTTAAGAGCTCATTGAGATTAAGTAGTACTATTGTAATGAGAAAATCACTACATTATACATAAAATAGCTACATGAGTATACGCATTATGATTTGTGCAGGGAGCCAACTAGCTTTTATAAGAAGATATGAATTGCAAACATTAACGGTGAAGTGATCCACAATGTGGGCACATTAAACCTTGATAACTGTTTTATTTTATATTGATTATCTAGATGATAGCATTTAATGGTCACTTTCTATAAATTCTTGACTTGTCTAGTGCTAAGACGTACCATTCATTCTGTGCATGTCCAAGAGTTCCAGATTTACAGAATTTGGTTGTGTATACAATTCGTTATTATGATAAACTAAATAATGTGGCTTTGATTGTTGCAGCTAATCTATATCACATAAATCATCTCGAATTTAGATTATTGAAAAAGTATAATTTATGTCTGCCCCAATATTTTTTGTAGAAAACATTGAATACTCTTCTACCTTTTCATAAATTAATTCATTCTTCTAAGTGCATTTGTTGGACAAATCTTAGCTCAGCTTTAAAAAAACAAGCTTACTAAAATTTTCAGAAGACATATAAATATGCCAATCTTTCTGAAAGAGTCTGTGATTGAGAATATTTTCAGGTAAACCACAGATATAATGATGGAAATCCGGTGTCGGACAACATCATTGAGATAGTGAAATAATGTGTTGGAAAAACCGCTAGTACGAAAATTAATTTCGAATTACCATAATTATAAACCATATTCCTTTATAAGACTTCACTACAGGTATTTTCCAACGCGAGTGTTCTGATTTGTTCAGCAACATTAGAATACAGAGAGACGAACAACTGAAGACGTGAAACAATCAGACAAAAATGAATCGTTATTCAAGCTATAATAAACTCTCTAGCAACTGTCGAGAAGAATCTCATAGAAGTATATATCATAGTGCAAACAATAATATCAATTTGAAAGCAGTCATATGACAAAATGTAACCATTTACTGACAAATATGAAATAAAATTATGTTGAAGAATTAGCTGTGAACAGTAGATCAATCCATTTGTTTGGCTAAGACCAATATTTATTCATCTCACCAAAGGTCTATCATGGACTAAAAATGTCTCATGGATACGGATGTCTTAAACTTCTCAAATGGTTTAAACCAACGGACAGTAATACCATAGACAGTCGACATGTACTGGTTGACATCCTGTATCTCTTCTGCAGCCCAATGTCATGCAATGAGCTGAATCAGAAAGGGAGGAGAGATAAGCAAACATAGAACATTTGGCAGTCACTGTCTTACCAAACAATCAGTCATAATTACACATAACATCGGCTTTGTCTACTAAGTGATTCCATCACCAAGTTCATCTGTAAATTGATAGACACCACTTACACATTTTCGTCGCCAAGTGTAAACTAGCACATAGTCAATTGCTTTGCTGAATGCTCTTTTGCTGACAGACAGATAGAAATATAGTCCGTAACACAAATATTGCTAGTTGACAAAAGGTATAATGATTCAGATTTCAGGAAGTAGCTTCCCCATACCCATTGTTTGGGCTAAACATTTTTTTCTTACCAACTCTGATTCCTGTAACACTTCATTACTTATCATTCTCAAATTACAAATACTGTCATGTAGCAAACGACCACACAGATAATTACTTAAGATTGATCGTAAACATAATGTGCAGATAAGCAGAACATATTCACTCCATGCAAAGGGACACATTGCTGATTGAAAAATTTGGTATAAAATCATAAATTAAAGCTCTTACCCTTAAAAATACTAAGGACAATAAACACTACTGTTTTATTTAAGATGAAACATGACTTTGACATATAACTTAGAAAAGTTTGGATGGTAAAGCGACAGCATCTTATGGAAAAGGTGAATTTTAAGGTTGAAGTACATTTTTAGCTCTGATGGATGCTTTTATTTCCATTTTTGGGAGCAATCAATCAAAAACATAATGAATAGGATGAACAAAATGACACTTACTGAATGACTCTAAAAGTCACACTCCTATTTGAAATAATATATAGATGATTTAAATAAGAATCTAACTATAGAACCATCGCTAAGATTTTTATGCTCTTGAGTTTGAATACTATAATATACATACCCAAAGTAACTCAACTTGTCATGATCTAGTGACCTACAGTATTACATCTTTCTTCGTTTCCACCTTAAAGGATAGATAATCTTCAGTTTAGGGGTTGTGGAGGTTGTTAAGTTTTTGACTGAAATCATGAGCATTTTATTCAAGCAGAGAAGTTTACAAAAATAAAATCAGAAATGAAAAATTCATCATGATTAGTTTCTTTATGAATATAAATAGAAAGATTCAATTCATTTCATTAAGGTACATTCATAATAAATGAACCTTATGTACACTACTATTTATCAGTTTATAATAGATACTCATTTTCTTGTTATCTTTAAAGATTAACATTTATATATGCTTTCCTTTAATCAGGATACAATCTTTTGTTTTATTTCGAACGAGATCGGTAAAGCATATATTTACAGATGTAGACAAGTAAACTAATTTTTTATCTATTCAATTCATTTAAGGACATGTAACTCATTACTAATCAATTTAAAGTATGTTGAGTAGTTTAATGAATGTCAAACATTTTAAGGTATATTATCAATAAACGTTATGTGATCTAAATTAAATGAATTAGTAATAAATGAAAGAATAACTGTTTTACAATGCAAATTATACTTAAATAATATTACATATCATAATCAACTTAAGGTTCTTTGCATCGGATAACTTTTTTTAAATTTATAAGCCATATTTATTTCCAACTAAATATGCTTAACTGATTTAAATCATGAGCAAATTGAAGCTAGACCACCATGGAAAACCTGGAAGCACTAAACGACCGTTTCGTCTTAGTATGGGACTCCTCAGCAGTGCGCATCCACAATCCCGCACTTGTGATTTGAATCAGTGAAATTTCTAAAACCTCCACAAAACCCTTTCTGATAAATATGCTTAACACTGTTAAGTAGGGCTATTAATTTTTAATTCATAATTGGGATTACATTATTATCATAAAGTATAAAAACAAGTACCAATATAAATCATTTCATTGGTCAAAAATGTTCTAAATTTATGGCTTCTTACAGATATTTAAAGAAATTTCTACTGAATATTGTATTCCGGTTACACTTGTTATGTTATAATTATGTAAAATCAATCAATCTTGTAATCCAGTTGAAGGAAGGCAACATGCGAGATTCTTATATTCAAAATAAATAAAGTGAGAAAATATAAATAAATGAACATATCTTTTGCTGAACTAAACATAATTTCATATTAATAAGCCACTTTCAAAATACTAACACAGATTTTATTTTTGGAACTGTAATCACCTACACTTTCATAGTATTGTTTTTGACTGGCCTAGAGCCTGTTTATTTGGTATCTCCTAGACACCAAATTATAGAAGCACATGAAACTTTTGTACTATTTTGGTGAGTGCTACTTATACTGACATAAATAGTATATAATGCGAGTCAGAAATGTATTGTCTGGCAGCAGAAGATGGGGAAGATGTGCTGAGCTTCCTGAAGGAGTTTGAGGTCGTGGTGGAGCTGGTGGGAGTGAAGGAGCCGAAGGCGAAGGTGGAGGTACTGGGGACGCTGCTGAGAGGCAGAGCGAGGGCTGTATATGACAGGTTTGACGGTGCTGGCGGAAAGACGACGTGAGCGACAGTTACGGAGTGGTTGGTGACGGAGTTCGACAGCCCAGTGGACAGGGAGGAAGCACAGGTTGGCGAGGTTGTCGGTCGATGGTGACCCACTGGGGCTGGCTGTAGAGCTTACCAGATTGTTACGCCGTGCGCTTCCGAATCTGGATGAGGAGTCGGAGGTGCAGTTGTTGGCGTCCCAATTTATCGAGAGTGTGCCTGCCAACGTTTCCCAGCAGCTGAAACTAGTAAACGCAGCGCAACGTATGGATATCGATGAACTGGCGAAGGTGACTCGTCGGCTGATGACACGAACAGTAGCTTCGGTCGGGTGCGGAAAGCAGGAGATAAATAGTGTCGGGAAGAATATTGAGGAGCTGGAGAGTGAGATTGCGGCAATACGAGTGAATCATAAAAG